AGTTACGTTTTCTTAATTAAGAGGCGGATATGTGTGCAGTCTTCAAGCACTGTACTCCATCACGAGCCAGTATACTTAACTCCTGCCAATCGGAAGAACAATGCTGGCCAACAATCAATCATTGACACGAATGGAACATGTGCGTAAGAAGAGGCCAACTTTATTACCAAAAGGTATGATCCTTTAGCGAAACCTGTGGCAAAGGAGGGTGATTACGAAGATAAAACGTAAAAAATGTATAATAATATTCCTTAAGTGCACAAGACACAATAAAAATGTATTTGAACTGTTGTATGATCTTCATAAGTCAGAAACAAGCCTTTTTGTGCCAGTCAGATACCTCGCTCTTAGCATTTGAAAGTTTGAGTAGAAACTATGAAAATACATTAAAGATAAAATGCTCGCAAACAAATCACAACTTACAGCCAAGCCAAAGTGGCTTAAATTTGGCCATAAAATGCTGAAAGCATTCTTTATTTCTTTACAAAATCTGATAAGATTTCAGGGCTGTAGATGGCCGAAATGTTGGAATCTACTTAAAAGTCCATACGGAATTTTCATGCGTTACTTATATGATGTGCATGGATTGGACGTATATAGGACTGACCATGTCTCTCTGTCTGACAACAAGTTCCGAATAGAACTCAGACTACTTTCTTATTGAGCAGAATTTAAGTATCACAAATCTTCTGACGTTAATACTATATTTAGACATTTCATGTTTACATTCCGACAACGGAATGAAAATTAGTTCATGGGTTAGAGTACCGAGGTCGCACTAAAGGATCGTAAAATAACAGAATGAACACAGTCTATATCACACTTGTACAATATGCTACAAGCATTTCTAATCATTGTCCGGTAACACATCAGGGGATGTAAACTACGCATCGTGTCCTTAATGAGAAACGAGTACTTTGTATGTTGTCCGAAATGACTACGAAGGTATAATTTATCCGTTTATCTTGTAAGCTGCATTTTGACAGTGCAAACAGGACAGGAAAAATCTAGAACCTTCTCCAAGATCACTAAAACATCCGCAATAAATCGTACAGAATTCTCATATTCATCCACGTTTCAGGACACTTTCAAGCCAAATATAGATATAGCAAGGCACGAGACAATTTCTGGTACAACGTATTTTAAGTTCCCACAGTCATATTCGAGGGTTATAGCCGTGCTAAACAACATGAAGAACATAACGTAGTTGCACGTTTTTAAGCTACGCGTGTCAGGATTAATATCTTATGATAACAGTGCTCGTTTCGCACACGCTTAATCAGGTTTCGATGCACGATATCCATACAGAATTCCTTATTATTCGTTTTCATACACCGGCATTGAGGCGATATCGACAGTTGGTGGGTTGGCCATAATATGAATGATAAATTGTGAAGAGCAGTGAAGGAAGTAGCCAGGCCCGGATTAAAGTGCTATCCTAGTCTCTGAGGTTTTCATGGTTTTGATCCGTCAATCTGCCAGAAGATTAGGTTGCAATATGTCAAAACAACTTTCCTTCTATATCTAACAAAAAATATCACAATTTATCATCTGCCCGTATTAGAACAACGTTCCCGCTTCAAATTAGCAGTCGTTAACGCCACTTCCAATGCTAATGACAAGCGGTATTTTAATAATAACATTCTTAATTTCGATATAGCAACAGGAAAAGTCTTACATTTATAAAAATTACCAAGCGCAAAGTCGCGTGGCGAAATTATAGAATGAAAAACTTCGTAACTTTACTATCCGCCGAATATTATTAAGCTAATTAATAATATAAAAGAAGATGGGCTGAAAATGCAGTACCAAAGCGTAAATGAGATGATTGTTTTGAAAAGTAACATTTAAAAAAAAAGATAAATTAAAGTGGATCTAACAGCGAGCTCCTGTGAATCTTGGGTTCAATATGGACGACAAATTTATTGTCCAACTAAACATCGGTTCCTCAGGGAGAACTCCGCTCCATGGAAACAGCTGCTTAACAGGACAATACTGCATAATTCGATACGAATAATTTGGAACTCGGTCATCGCACATACGGAACACCTGGTCGCCTGAATACACTGCATGAAATATGCTGACAGTACACGTCCACGGACATCGTCTCGTCCTTGAAACCATGAAAAATAGCATTCAGAATAGTCGGTCTCCAGTCCGAAATTTAAAACCGGGACCTCCAGAATATGAAGCAGGAGTCCATAGCTCGTATTACACTATGGTAGAATTATCATCCTATAATCAATGAATAATCAATTGGAAAGGATGTGGAAGAAACCGGCAGTGGCGTAATTTAAGATAGACTAGAGATACTTATGAAAATAAGGAAGAATCAGTCAGAAGAGCCGGTCTACATAGTCGAGATATGAACACTAGATAAGACCTTCGAACCGTGAATGTTAATCACTTGATCGCGAAGGTTGGGGATAAAGATGTACGCAAATATTTCTAGCGCAGCATTTCTCTGCTAGCAACGAATTAACAAGGTGTTCTAGAGAGATCTGCCAAATATGTTACAGATTATTATCATTATCTTTATTAGTAGTAATACTTAATATTACTGTCCCTGCTTTGATAAAAGACTCTACCGTTAAAGATGGAAGTTTGTTTTAAAATGTTGTTCTTCCCTGGCGATAATGAGGGAAAAAATTATATTTCCTTTTCAAGAGCTACCACATTATGGCTATTTAGAATTAATTTTCTTTCCATGCAACTTCCTTGTTGCTTTGATTTTTATAATATTCTGAAACTGCGTTTCATAAAACACTCTACAGCCGCGCGCAATAAAAATATATTAATTCGACAATTAAATTAATAAATTGGTTCTCAACTTAAACAATTACAAAATCTTCATAAAATTACACCTGTAGCTTACTTATTAATACTATACTAAAATTATTAAAATGCGTTCCGTTACTTTTAGCAAAAAATTACGTACATCTAAGTAGACAAACATTGCTCACTATCAAGTGTACTTTGCGTCGGAACGTCTTTGTTCTGCTACTCTTGATCACTAGTAAGAAAAAGTCCATCACGCACTGTGCCGGTAGAGACGGTTCCCTAACGTTGTTCACCCTGGCTCGTACGAGTTCACACGAGCACGTCCTGGGCTATGCCAAGAATACTGTGTCAATTTAACTGGCCTCGAGGCTTTATTCCTTCGTGAACCGGCCTAAAAGTATTTCATTTTACGTCGCCACATTCAACTCGCGTTCGTTAATTTTGTAATTAAAAGTTCTACACACCCTTTCTTACACGTTTCAAAGTTATTCTTTGTCTACGTCTAGATTGGAGCAGACCTCAATGAGTAGAATTAAAATTTTCATTGTTGAGTCTTATTAACATATCTATAGCAACATTAACAATCTTTAAGAGAATGCACCTTCGCTACAGTCTGATCTAACTACCATATATATTCCCCAAAATCAGAATGTCAGGCAGGCGAGTGAAATGACAATGCATTTCACAGTTTTAATACTGAATAATGGGAAATGGTATTCCTAAAGAGACTATATAAGCACCCGGAGGTGTGAGATGTAACCTTTTTGAACATATTTGACCTTGCCAAAGGCAACAGCACCTAAGCGCAGGCTGAACAGAAATGATCTGCGCGGTTTAAAATATCTATTTAACAAGAACTATAAGGCATATAAAAATAAAACAAACAATGGAGGAAGAACGTCGATGAAACTGGTACATTATGCGGAAGAAAATACGCTACTATAGCACTGGTCACTGGGAGCGCCACTAGTGACAAAGCAGTAATAAGGCCACTCAACCCGAGAAAACGTTTTGTTTGCTCGAGTTCTGCAATGCAAATGTGTGGCCAACCTTCAATGGGATTTTAAAGGGTTCAGATCATCTGTGCCCTTCCTGTATATTGCATGCGCCTTCATTATGGCCACGCTGTCATGGCTTAATATGGCCACGCTGTCATGGCTTAATTGGAAGAAAAGATGGCAACGATGTGTCCAGAGCCAGTTTTGTGCCACTGTTGTAATATTAACAGCCAACACTGTTAACAGGACGCGGGGTTCAAACACCTCTGATATCACAGCCCGCCACTGGGCACAATCCAAAGCCAGTTCCAATCAACTCCAATTCTTACAACCTACAGTCTTAGCATCAATCCTAATTATCCACCCCATTTCCTTGTCGGATTTCCGTCTGGTACCGTTTACCGACAAATTTCCACTCCATAATTCCGCACACATTCCTTGTCCAACCCATCGCAGGCTTCCAACTTTCGCTACCTGAACAGCACCATGTGACCTTCATAAATTGCAACCCTCCTCATTATGCACTTCCTTAAACCTCATCATTCTTACTTAAAAGTATATTATAATGCACTTTTGTCTCTAACACCTTTTATTTCATAGTATTTCTTAACTTACACGTTGTGTATTTTTGTGTATTAAAAGTGAAAACATAACAACAAGGCTATCATTTCAAAATATGTCCGTCAGAGAAGAGACAACTAATCTGTGATAGAATGCTCTCACTTGACTTTCCCGCTTTGCTGTGACCCCAACATTGCTTTCTTCCAACCGATGGGATGTTATTTATAAAAACAAATTAACAGGAACACCATGGAAGAATAAAATTCATTCATAATCAAGGAGTGAGTACTGCGAAGGAGTACCATGTTCGACTCTTTTTTCAGCAGCGCTGATGTCTGATACTTTATCACAAAAACAGTCTCTTCAGTAACTAACAGAACATCGTATAGTGTACAAAACGATACTGCTTCGACTACGTAACGGAACATCACATTCCTCGTAAGCATCACTGATCGTTCAACTATCGATTCGAATCCAACAGTGTCGCCTCCTTTTGTTTTCTTAATGTCAGTCGCTGGTTGCATCTCTTATATATCAAGATGCTCCTACCTTATCTAGAAAGACGGCTGAACCAATGGTTACGAGAGTCTACTGTATACCACCGAAAGCTACTAGTTGCGATTTGAAATTTCTATCCTGTAGATATATAACAACACTGACCTGTGTTTCAGCGCTGAGAGCAGAGCTGTGTACTTCGCTGGCAGACAAGGATCTCTTGTGGATATGCTGATGGTCGAACAAGTAGTAGTTACGCAGGCTGCCGATCTGAAAGAAATAATAATTAAACGTCGTCATTCCAGCCTTCACATTAAATCGTACAAAAATAACTAGGGCAATAATAATAAATTTAGGTATCTTCTTAAACTATAAATCTGACATGTTACCATCTATAGATAACTTTACGGAAAGTTTTCAACCAAGTTCCATTCATCGGACATGCACTGTGCAATCTACATATGAAAATGCTCGTAATCGATAAAGTCACGGGTAATCACGCAAATATATCAGCCTATTATAGGGCATAAAGAACTTAAAGTACAGACCATTATAGTATGTCCATTAAGACAATGTGATTTACATTTTTGAAGTAACAATCTGTCCATAGCCAAGAGTTGAAACTTATGCTCTTAAAATCCCACGCAGTTAATCGAACACAGTCCAAACGTTCCAGAACAAGAAGTGTGCAATATGCAAGGCGCCGTATCAAAGATAAAATTTATACGACCGGTGATATCAATGGTTTCGGTACGTACCCGATAATAAATTCCATCCAGATACTATGAATAACGAATAAGAAGGAATTGTGCACAAATATTTGTTACAACAGAGTAACACATCGGTCAAATTCTAAGCCGAAACAGCTCGTAAGTAAACGAGATTCATTCTAAAAACAATTTTAACAACTAATAATAGTTTTAGCATATCTTTCGCCCTTATTTGCATGTCCGTACTGCAGCTAAAACACGCGAATATAACAGTTGATAAAGAATTCTTCGCTTGACAGTCAGTTTCCCTAAGCCAGGAAATTTCGGACCTGCTTTACATAGGAAGCGCTATTTAAAACGCACTCAACAACAATCACAAAAATCAAATCAGAAGCAGATCAACAACCTCCTCAGTGACACTAGAATTACGGTTTCCCCGGTTACTAGGGCGCTACTCGCGTTACATGCGCAAAAACTGTGCATGTGCAAACATGGTGTAAGCTTGTTCACGTGCAGAAAGTGTATTCATTCTCGAACTTATGCATCACATTGCTATTCTGCTGTTCGTGAAGCATTTACCAATGAATAGCCTGACGAGGAATAATATTTGTTTTAAAGTTGTTCTGTGAGATCTTCCTATGAAATAAAAAACTAAAACACTCGTTTTCACCAAAGCTTACAAATACAGCTGTAGTTAGGGTTGAATTTTATGTGAAATATCCTGTATGATACTAGGCTCCAAACAAACTACCCTGCATCAAAAGTTGTTTTACCATTTGCTAAACGTAACGAACCACGTGACACTGCTCTTGAACGAGTCAGCTGCCGTCAGACTACGCATAATTTCTGTCATACTATCAGCAGTAAAATGTAAATGTGTCTCCAGTTAATTGGACCAAGAACATTAAGAAGGGTGTACCTGTACGACAAAGATGGTCGTGTACCGCAGTCTGGGCAGGTCGCAGCCTACCAAAAAAAGTACAGTAAATGGGATACGCCGTAATACCATTTCCATGTTGAACGTGGGAAAACAAAATGTAACTTATTAGTCAGATGGTGGCTCAAAGCCTGAAGAACCTTGATTACATCTGGAAGAATTCAGCTGGAAGGCATGCACATAAAAATGTTAATATAAATAGTGCACAGAAATATGTGAACGGACGAAATTTTTGCATATCGAAATAATCAGATTCGCAGTGTAAACTATTTACATAATTATTATAATGCATACAATTCAGGTGTGGTCCACAGCGCTGCATCACTCCACACTCTTCATATAATTAATACGACAAATCTTGATAATAATATCGCTTCAAATAAAAATAACAGATTTTGATTCAACTCACCAGCTAAATAATCGAAAGGAGATACAACACACATTCATACATAATACTCATACTAAACGTCAGCAATAAATATATGATATAAAAATAATATTAAAATAGTATTCGTCTATACAACACATGGGTTCTCAGTATTAAAGGACATGGCTAACCCTCCCTTCGCAGGGAATGTCTCAAAATGGAACACGCAAACAATTAACTACTGACTCTGCATCTCAATCACTCCATTAGAAAGACGTCACAAACTGTCAAGTACAGAACTGCTCACCCCCTGAAGCCGTTACAAAATATGGCAATTCCATGCGCTTCCTTCCCAGTGCATATCTTCTTTTTGTGCACTAATGCTACCAACATGATCAATAATATCAATAATTTTCCTCCCAAAGTTGAGAACTCGAACGTCCCAGGCACTTCTACTTCCTATACGTAAAATTTAGGGTCAAAATTTAGTGTTATCTTAAATGAGATTTTTCGTGGATATCCTCAGTACTTCTGAGAAAATTTCTGGATACTACATAAAATTAGGCCACGATCGGTTCATTCAATGCCCTTTAAAATTCATCCTAAGCGTTGACTCTACGAAGTCTCAAGTATTAACAGCGTCGTTAAATAAATCACACAGTTACAAGTGGGTTTTTCCGCAACATTCATCTAACTAACAAACAAAATACGCAAAGAGAAATAGATGGTAGAACGGTTATTTTGAAACAGCACAAAAATTCGCAACCCCTTAGCGCGATAGAATAAATTGTTACAAGGCAGATTAAATTCATTGTTTAGAGGAGTAATTAAAACTCAGCAGAATACTTCGTCAGATTATAGCCGACTAGGGAGACAAAAATTAAAAGACATTTCTTTATAACGACCCGAGGTAATTTCAGAAACCCGGGGTGCAATATTTCTTAATATTTCAGCTCCGTTAATTAGTTTTCATAAAACAGAAAGTTGTTTTCGTGCAATGGTTGTCACACAATGTAACGCCGCACTGTAGGATCCAAATTGCAAATAAGGTTTACAATTATCTCATGGAACAATGGGAACTGTCTCCAGCGTTCGAATACAGGAAAGTGGCAACAAACATGTGCACGCTGGCTGTACATCCCAAAGTGTAAAACAACACTTCCCGCCCCGTTCGTCAGTTTCAAACAACTGGCCTGGATCCAGTTTTGTAGTGTTGTCTTACAGCCAGGGTTGCAGGCAAGCAGGCGACAGGCAGGAAAAAGCCAGCCAACTGAGCAGTAGCGTACTCCACAGAATGGCGGATGTGTTCGGCAGATATGCGACTACAACCAAGAAATCGGTTACATTGTTAATCTTCCTCCAAGCGCCCACATGGCGTATAGTGAGACAGCTTAACTTTTAAGTCCTCACAGCGAAGAGAAACACTGACATCTTCAAGAACCTCAAATCTCAAGTCCGTAGTTAAGCGACACTGGTAATTATGTCTATGAATTAGTAAGGCACGAAACACCATGTGGTTCTATGCAACTATACATACACGGCTAATGCCGAACGGTAAGCGTCGTCTGATCTTTAGATTTCTAGAGACACGTCACCGCCTAATGCCGACAGTACATATTAACCTGTAATGAAGCTATCGATGCTACTAGTAGACAACACAAAGCAGTGCAAGTGCAGACACGCAGTGCACATTAAGGCAGAGTTTTCATTGTGGGGTCGTCGAACATACACGCGAGCGACATGCCTCTGATAGCCAAGCTGCAACTGCATCCCTCAGCATTGTCCTAGACGTCATTCAGATGTAAATGTGCTTAGATTATTACAGCAGCGTCTTCGGGAGACAGAAGCCTTATACTTCCTGCGCATGTCAAGTTCGTCCAAGGAAGACACTGAAAAAACATTAATTGCTGCTGAGAAACGAGAACCTTCGAGACGTTCATGTACTTTCAGAAATGAAATGGGACTATCCCAAGTATTGGAAACTAACATTCTTCATGATGATGAACTACTATCATATTCACAGAGTCAACGCCAACCTCAGAAGACTGTCCTCTACGGCTGCAGTACTGAATCAGCAACACGCTTTCAATAGACCTTCCGCGTAGTACAGGGATGATAAAAGAAATAGCCTACGTACTTTAAAACATCACTACTCATCCTGCTGTCGTTTCTCAGAGAACGGAATAAAGCTATTGGCAAACCAGAACAGATGATTTTATAAGTGGGAAACGGATCAATGATTTGTTTATAAATTATCACAGCACGTACCGGGTCTATCTGCCTACATATATAAGTTGGCACAGTGTTAATAACTAGCCCCGCCCTTGTAACAGCTCAGCATCAATCGAACAGCAAGAAGAATAATGTCCTGTAGGGGTCGCGAAGTTACTTGGCAGAGCGCTCTGAGCTGTGTCAAGCGCAATAATTCGTTATTTATGTTTTCCATGTCGCAGAGTAATTTGTCTGTAATTTGAAAGTTATGTTTTACTGAGAGTGTTGAGTTCTAGTGTGAATTACGGAAAGTTACAATGTATATTTATGAAAATATGACGGAGAGGGAAGAAAGTTCCACTTCTATTCAGTCTCAAGGAAAGATGGCCAAGTTGTTGGCACTCGTCAAAATGACTGCTATTGGGCAGGTTGGCTTGATGTGCGAAATTACCACATGTTCAACTATTAAGTATCTCGTAATCGTTTCGTCAGTTGTGTTGATTTAGGAAATACGGGTTTAAGAATGCCAAAAATAACCAAAAGAAAAACGGAACGGGCAAACATTGTCCCAGCGAGTAACTCTTCGGCCTGACAGAGCCGTTAAAGTATAAAATATGACAATAAAGTACGCAGTAAGAGATTTTGTAATTCCGGTTCCCTCGTTAAAAAGATATTCTAGAAAGGTTTCTGAGTGGGATGTAAAAGGAATTTCAAAAATCCGACCTTCATAGTGGACAGTTTGCCGAATGAAAAAACCGAGTAGGGAATCTTGAAGTACAAATAAAAAGTAAATACTTCTCTGAGAAGTCTGCCAGATATGTGCATTCGACTGCCTGCTGAATATCTTTTGACTTCTTCAAACATACGGCCTGATTTTTGGCAGTATAATGAAGACGAGCTGCTTCAGGTATTTTAAACACGGTCATGGGAGTTAAATTGTCTGTCACTAACCACAGTACTATGCAGGCATATCACCAGGTAAATTCTTAAATAATACCTTCCGCGTTCTAGAGCAGGGCATAAAAGTACACGCACACAGCCTATT